GTTAGCCATGCCCTGACGTAGATCAAACCAGAGGTTGTTTCAATGTTCGATCTGCGAGTTAGCCGTGTTCCGAGGCAATCTAGTCTCAGGAACAAAGACAACCCAATCAGTTTTACAAGGTCATGTCCATAAAAAAAACTTTGGGTTTTTCTGTTTTTACTATATTAAATATAATAATCTAATTATTTAAAGCTCGATAAATATTTTAGGATACGTGAGCTATTTTGAGTTCAAACAGCCTGAACCTTTTACGTTACAAAAGGATTTTCTATCTGTACTAAAGGTTCATACGTCCACCTTCTACTGCAACGACATTCAACGCCACATTTCTCAGACCCACACGAATCGCATGGAAAATGGCATCCAGGACAGTTAAGATCTTGACAATCACACACATCTTTATTATCCGATAAACGAATACCAGATCGATCGTGATAATTTCGTCTTTTGGGAGGGTTTCTTGGTCGCCTGCCATTCAAATTTACCTGATTCAAGTCATCGTTAAGGTGTTTATCTGTTGTTCTCACAAACTGTCTTACTTTCCTTTGTTCCCGTCTGCTTTTATCAGGATCAAAACTAGCCAACTGTGGTCCAGGGTTTCTGAATTGAAGTATTTTAAGAAGTTTTTCCGTCTTGTCTCCTTCAGCTGATCCTATAGATGTCCTTCTTGCAGTACAACCACTTGCTTGAATTGATAAATAATTTGAGCTCTCCTCGGCCATTTTACCATCGATATTTTCATCTTTATACTCATTAGAACAAGTGCTCGAGTCTTTTTCTTCTTTTGATTCTTGATCCATTGTAATATTAAGGAATTATTTAAGTTTTCCTAAGCTTCAAAAGGATACAACRTGATTGAGCCGCCATATTGAATAAAGACCAATGTGCTTTGCGCTCCTCATTACATTCAAAATCGTCTTTTTTTCTCATTTTTTTTCTCATTCAAATGACAATCTTTCTCTTAATTTCCTTTCCAATCCCTGCGTCACCTCTAAAATCCTATTTAATTTTTATAAAAATGAAATTAAAAAATTGTGGAAAAAATTTGGGAATTTTTTTTTCATCAACGCTTTCGATTTCCCATCCCAACCCAAGTACACCCCTCTCCCCCAGAAAAAAAATGCAAAAATGCAGTCCCATTATTTTCACTCATTCAATTCCTCATTTTTTAATGATTTAACCTTTAGATACTACAGAACATTTCATTAAGTTAAGGAAAATTTATGAAATTCAACTAAAAAATTAAAAGAAAAAAATCATCCCATTTTTCTTTTCACTCTAYTTTTCCTCCATTTTCCCCAATAACTAGTTTTATTTATTTATATCTTCTTTAAAACAAAATTATTTTCTAGTTTTCTCAGGGTTCCAATTCTCGTGACAGTCACACGATCTAAAACAATTCCCAGACGCATACTGTAAAATGATATCGAATTGTAACAAAATCACTCGCTAAAACAATAGAGTTTTTTATTTGGCCGTCGCATTACAAAGCAGGTCATTTCCGGTTAGAATACAGGTTACCTGGGTTGCAAGGAAGGATTCGTTAACAATTTATGACATCTTTTTGCAGTATTTTATCATCGTTTACGCGACATTCAAATACGTAGTTATCAAACGAAAACGTAACACTGAAAATTGTACCTTCGAATATATCCTTCGTGTCTCTGGTTGCAAGGAACGAAGAAAACTTTCCGAAATTAAATTTCCTTCACGGGAAAAAAATATTTATTGAAAACACAATGAAAGAGGTAAGTAATACTTAGCATCTTAAGAGCTTTTCTTCACACAACTGCTCATTTATAGCTTCAAGGACTCTAAGTTAGCTTCTAGTATTGATATTTCTTTATTGAGTCGTGTTCTTTTTGGTTAGAAAATGGAATCTGAAGAGGAGAAAAACGCTAATGAAAACGAAGCGAAGATAGAAGAGCCTCAAGGTAATCTCTTATGGCGAATTTCTGGTGGCGTTTATAATAAAGCTGCCACTGTTGCTGGTGGAGTTGGATGGATTGCGGGATCTGCTATATCGACGACTTGTTCAGCAGTTTCTACAGTCGGAGGATATGCTATTACACCGTTTCGAAAAGAACCGAAACACAAATCGGATTGATGGAGCTGGTTACTCATGAAGTTCGTCATAAATGAACCTTCGTACTTTGAACTCATTCGATTTCTCCTAAAAGAAACCTTTTCACTGTCTGTGAGTAAACAATGCAAAGTCTTCCATTGATAATTTCCCTACAAAAATTGCAAAAAAATATATAAAAAATACAATTAATAACGACTCTAAAAAATAGTATTTATAAAAAACATTATAGCGTTTTACGGTTACAATATTCCAATTGCCACGTAGAATATGAAACTTCAAGAAAAATATATTTAGCTTTTCGCAATATTTCTCATTAAAACTAAACTGCTATTACGATATTGTATAAAATTATAGCTAACACAGAGTTAATATTTAGAGATTTCAAGCTCATATAATTTATGGCTATAAAAGATTCGAATTTTTTGATGTTGTTTCCCTCCGATGAGATTTTTTTAAAGAGGTAATTAGAGAATCGAGTGCATTTTTGGGACAACAACACTGCTTTGTTAGCTAACCTTGCTAAAAAGATTCTCAAACCTCAAGATTTATTAAGTAGTTTTTCTTTTGAGATATTATTTCTGCTAGAAAATAGAAATAATATTGTTTGTTGTGTTTAAATTAACTGATTTCAACTTCGGGGTTTATACAGGGGGAAACGTGCAAATACAGATGATAATTTTTCGACAACAAAATTGAAATTGTAATAAAAAAAATTGATACAATAAAAAAAATTTCGACTTCAATTCTGCCTTTGTTTCTGGAATAAAAATAAAAATAATTCCATTTAACATGTTTAATTTTTCTTGTTTTTGAGTTATACCTTATGACTAGTTATGACTTGGGTCCATCCTACATTTCTGATATGATTTCTCGTTATACTCCAACAAGACGCCTACGTTCTTCTTCTGCTTTTCTTCTTGAACACAAAAAGTACCAACTGAAATCTTATGGTTACCGTTCTTTCTCCGTATCTGCACCTGAACTCTGGAATGCCCTTCCATCTTCAATTAGGAACTCTGAGAGCTTGTCATCATTCAAGACTTCTTTGAAAACTTATTTGTTTAAATTAACTTTTAATGTGTGACCTTTATTATTTTTCTAATTATTGTAATCATCATTTTTGTATTATTTTGTATTGCATCTTTCACAGTGCCTAGCGCAGCCCTGGATAAGCGCTTTATAAATTGTAATTATTATTATTATTATTATTATTATTATTATTACCTGAATAGCTTTGGATAGAATTATTGATAAACTTTTACAAGTTGGTATTTCATCTTGCATAATTTGAATATTATCAAAATGTATCTTTAACAAACACATGAACCAAAATATCTTACTGCCAATAATCATTAAGAAAAAAAAAAAGCTATTCTACATAATTTTAAAAAGCAAGTTTTGGTTTTTTGTTTTAATTTACCATATTTTTTTCTGGGAATTCTCGTAAAATTAATAAATTTATAATATAGACTAATATTTTATTTTTCCCTTTCTTCAGTCACCTTTTTTAACTTCAGTATCATTTAAATAAAATCAGATTCACACATAAAAATCAATGTTTTTAACTACACTAAAGTGTGAGCCCAGTAGACAAGACATTTAAAATACTATTTCTTTTTATTTGTACAAGAGAGAATATAAATACATGATAATAGATGAGAATACACTAAAAATTAAAACCCAATTGACCATTTTTCAATTAGTAAGATTTTGTTTCCTTGATTAGACACATTTACTTAGAGTTAGCCTTATTAGCTCTGTTCACAAATACCAACAAGTAAAGTAAGCAATGCTTCAAAAATACAAATGCTTTGAAATTCCACAGACCTTCAATGGAACACATGAATATTCTACACAATATCGTGGCTAACCATGAGCAACAGAGAACTCAAAACTGAAGTAGAGTGCAAACAATTAATCCGTGAAACACTAATTACTAAATAGTACAAAATAGTGCTAATTAAAAAATAGAAAATAATGGAATTTGCATGAAATTGTACTATTTAGTATTACTAAAGTTTCACGGTTATATTGTTTGCTTTATTCATTCATCATTTTCTTTCTTTCTTTCTCTACCATTTATCAATGTTAAAGCATGCATTTTCTAAATCAAATCATTGTCTATTCTCATAATTGCATTTGTTTTTTTTTAAACTTAGGTCGTACGAATTGAGCCTTTGGGATTTTCATATTACATCACACCGTAGTGAAATTTTTTTCATCTGAAAAAGGTGTTGATATTCGAAGTTGTCAAACAGATATTAGTAAACCTGCAAAGTTTCATGAAGATTACACATAAACTATTAAAGATATGATTTTTAATTATTTTTTTAAAAATAAAATTATTTATATCTGTTAGTTTACATTTCTTTGTAAAAGTTGTAAGGTTCAAAAATTTATATTCTTTGGACCATGGATGTGGATGAAACTTCATAATTCTTTGCATTATGGACAATCTTTGTGAAAGTTTACAGTTCTACTAAAATCTAAATGAAAAAGTTGATAGAGTACAAACACTATAAGTGTGTAACATAAATACCACTAAATACTGATAAATTATGCTAATCCTATTGTTTTCTATTGTTTRATTACCACTATTTACTACTAAGTAGTGTAAAGTGTTGCACACTTTTAGTGTTCGTACTCTAGTAATGATAAAAGGGTAAATTATACACTGTGAAAAGATGAAAAAACTTACTGATGTTTCGGACACTAGTCCTTCGTCGGAGTAAAAGAGAAAGTTGACAGCAAACTCTTTTTTTCTGATATAAAAATGTTCAACAAAACCTCAATTTTACCCTTTGCCACACTAAACACGAAACTTATTGGATAACAGCAAAGACTTATCCACTGGATAAGGATTTATCCATCGGATAGCGCTATTCATGCTTCGTACAACCAAGCCCTAGGTTTAGTTTAATAACTACAAGTTAAAAACCCAACCTCTTAGTATTTCTTTATAGATAGAAGCCAAATATTTGGTTGTGTTGCTCACGTAATTATGAACCTAAGCAAAATTATAAATATTAATGACAGTCAATAACGTGATGAAAGTGTAGTATTGGTCCAGGGCCAAAAATAACCATCATTCTTTTGACAATTTTTCCACCAGAATACTCCATTTTATAGTTCCATTCAGTGACCACGAATAATAGTTCCTAGCCAAGGCTGGAGTTACCGTGCATGATAAACTGTAGTTTTGCTATGCGTGGAAACTCCAGCCCTCGGCTAGGAACTATTATTCGTGGTCACTGAATGGAACTGTAAAAAGGAGTATTGGAACTTTTCCAATCAAAAAGTTGAAGGGAGTTCATTTTACTTCGATAGCACGGGGAGTGGTTGCCTAAATCTCCCGAGCCAAGGGCTCATTRCATAATGCGCTCGAAGGTGCACACTTAACACTTGCCGGTCATTTTGACCAGTAAGGGTCAGGGAGATACCAGGTATGATTGAGGTATATATATAGTGGTCGTCATTATGACCAGTGATTGGCCAGCAGTTATTTTAAGCCCTAAGGTAAGAGAAAGAGAAATCCGACTTAAATTTAGTTGACTGGAATGGGTTGGTTTGGACTATTCTATGTCATGATGGATGGAGCCCTGTAGGATTGGATTGCATCGTGCGCTGGTGTTTTATGGAGTAGCTTTAGCTTCATTGTGTCTACTCTCTTCGTTGCATCCTCTGAGCTGACTTCAACATTGTAATTGTTGGCCTAAGGAAAAAATATTGAGTCACACACAGATGATTTAGTGAAATCTTGATATTAAATACTCATTTTGCTAATGTTGGTGATGATGACTTATTATGATGATACTGGTGATGATGATGATGGTGATGGTGATGATGATGACATGATGATGATGATGGTGATGCTGACTGATAATGATACTGGTGATGATGTTGATGACTTATGATGATGATGGTGGTGATGACATCATACATACCAGCTGTAGCGTTGCCAGGAAGTAGCGACATATCTCAAATGGTTCCTGGAAGATTTCCAAAGAATATCTTAACACTGATGATAAATAGTGATAATGATGATGATGAAGATGATGGGTATGATAATATTCATTAACGGTAGAGATATGGACACCTGAAATACCAGTTCAAGTAAGATTCCTTTCCACCCACCATTATTTCCAGCACTAATAGATAAATATTTACCTTATTTTTCATCATTTCAGCAAATGGCATCACTTCTTTTTCTGGACAAAACAAATAAAGGTGTGGAATCCACTGTTAATCCCATTATGATTATTTATGATGATGATGATGATGATGATGATTGATGATATTATTATTATTAGGTGAGAG